GTTGGTGTTGATGTTGTTGTTGTTGATGTAGTTGTTGTTGTTGTTGGTGTTGTTGTTGTTGTTGATGTTGTTGTTGATGTTGTTGTTGATGTTGTCGTAGTCTTTGATGTCAGCTACTGTTATAGGCAAGCGCTGAAAAAAATTATTATAGAATAATATAAATATATGTTGATATAAAGAATAATAAATAATAATAATTTATTTGTGGATGATAATAATAGAACCTTTTTTTTATATCGTAACAATCTTACGAAAAAAAAAACAAACAAACAAATGATACGACTGATGCAAAAAGTACAAAATACAAAACAATGCATATGCAGTGTATGTATATACAAACGATCTGTTCATACAATACAAACATACAAACACATACAAACTCACAAAAGGAAATATTTACGAAGCAAAACAGTGAAACAAAACAAAACATAACTCTTTCGTCACGAAACATATTTTGACATAAATTCCATCACAATTATTTTTTCTTGAAAATACACACATGTACAAACACACGCACATACACACACACAGACACACATACACACACATACACAAACACACATACATGCAAAACACACAAACAAAGCCCCAGATGTTTCAAATTGTGTTTTATTGGTGTCATATACAATTTCTCGTGTCGTTATTTGTTATTAACATTTAAGATTTCGCCAGAGTGTTATTTTCATTTCAATCAAATTTCATTATTATTATAATTGTTTATTATTTAAATTATAGTTATTATTTATTCATATCATTCATATTTTTAGTAGTTCTTTAAGTCTGATGTTGCTAGGAAATTTGCTAGAGATTTGTCTTTTACTAACGGTTGATACTGCGACAGCGATTGGCGTTTTTGGGGCTGCTGTGGTTGCTGTAAGTGTGGTTTTTTTTATTAATCTTTTTTATTTATTTCTTTACATTTTCAAGCTGAAGTGACTTCATTATTGCCACAAATTTTTATCACCAATAGCTGCCGTGCCATGTTTTTCATCATAAATATAAATAGTAAAAAAATTTATAATAATAATAATAATAACAAGAATAATAATTATAATAATAATAAACATTAACCATAATAGTAATAAGACTGGAAAACAAGAGAAACTCCAGTGCTATTGATGTACAGACAATTTTGTGGTCATTAATTTTGTATGCTAATAGAAGCCCTCACTCTTATCATCATCATCCTCGTCATCTTCATCGTCGTCGTCATCTTCATCATCATCGTCGTCGTCATCAGTGATATAATCATTGTTATCAGTGGAGTTATCACGTTAGCATCATTTAAGCTGCTGGGATTAAGAAGTCATAATAATCGTCATCATCATCGTTATCATTATCATCAACTTCTTCTTCTTCATTATCATCATCACCGCCATCATTATCACTACTAGTAGCAGGTAAACGACATGCTAAAAGTTAATTAGATCTAGAAAAAATATAAGTGCGGATTTTTCGCGCATAAATAAATAATACTTTCTGAGAAAAAATATTAAAACAAAATTGCGATGACGAAGATGATGATGGTAATGATGACGACGATGACGATGATGATGATGGTGACAATGAAGGTGCGGATGGCCATGATGATAATTTTGATGATGATGATGATGATGATACTGATGACGATGATGGTGATGATGATGGTGACGATGATGATACTGATGACGATGATGATAATGATCAAAGACGCACATTTGGAGATGGCAGAAAATTTTTGATTGATTTATTGCCGCTACTTCAATCGCTAACAGACAAAAGTAATCATAGTAATTGCGGTAGTAGTAGTAGCAGCAGCAGCAGCAGTAGTAGTAGTCGTAAAAGTAGTAGTAGTAGTAATAGTGGTAGCAGAAGTAGTAGTAGTAGTAGCAGTAGTAGTAGTAGTAGTAGTAGTAGTAGTAGTAGTAGTAGTAGCCGT